TGAAATTTTTATAAAGGATATAGTTACTTAATAGCATTCCCTTATTTTCATATATCAAGTTTTCTTTTCTTAAATCAGAGATTCTTTTCTTTTAGATCTGCAACTTCAACTTAAAGTCTGTCTGTTAGCATTTTGCTACTTTATGCGAATTAGGAGAACTTCTTTTAACTAAATATGGTCTGTCTTATAAATTACAATGAAATAGTGCTCATAAATTCCTTATTTTTAACAATAGAGTCTCATTTTAGAACTATGTTAAAGTATTTATTCACAACCAACTTTATGGTAGTCTTTAATGTTTGCTTCTTTTCAAAGAATTGCAGTACCTGAAAGGTTCAGCACACCAAAATTTACATTTTTTAAGAAAATTGCAAAATAGCTTCTTTAGATAGAACTCATGTATGATCTTTTAAAAAAAATCAACTTTATTAGGTACCACTTACATACGATAGTTGAGCCATTGAAATGATACAATATGATGAGTTGACAAATGTTTGCAGTTATTTAATCACCACAAATAAGCTATACAACATTGCCTTCAGAAAGGTCCTTCTTGTCAATTCGCAGTCAATCCCTACTCCCCAGACCCTGGTAACCACTCATTTGCTGCCTTTTATCATGGGTTTGCCTTTTCACGAATTTCATGTGCATGAAATCATACTGTATGTAATCGTTTGTGTCTGACTTCTTTCACTGTGTATAATGCTTTTGAGATTCAGTCATATTGTTATTTGAGCAGTTCTTTTTTTATTGCTGAGCCGTATTCTGTTGTACAGCTGTGTTGCAATTTGTTCACCTATTGATGGGCATTTGGGTTGTTTTTAGTATGGGGCTATTATGAATAAAGCTGTTGTGGTCATTTGGATACAGGTATTTCTATGGACATATAGTTTTCATTTCTCTTAGATAAATACCTACTAATGAGATTCTGTGCCTTATGGTAATGGTCAGGTTTAAAATTGTTTTCCAGAATAGCTGCACCACATTCATTCCCAACAGCAGTGTATGAGGATCCAATTGCTAGCTGGTGGTATGGTCAGTCATTTTAATCTTAGCCATTCCTATAGGTGTGTGGTGGTATCCGATTATGGTTTTGCTTTGCTTTTCTATAAAGAATAATAGTTTTAAGTGTTTTGTCATCTGCTTATTGCTTATGTAGTTTTGGCGAAGCATTTGTTCAAACATTTTGCTCATTTTAAAAATTGCATGTTTGTTTCCTTATTAAGCAGTAAAGTGGGTTTTTTTTTGTTTTTTTTTTTTTGTGGGTTTTTTGTTTGTTTGTTTTGTTTTGTTTTGGATACAGCCATTTTTTTCCCCCAATGTAGCTTGACTTTTAAGAGTATTTTTCCAAGACTGGAAGCTTTTAATTTTGATGAGGTACATTTTATCAATGTTTTCTCTTCTGTGGTTCAGGCTTTTTTTGCCTTAAGAACTCTTTGCCTAACCCAAGGTCTCAAAGAGTTTTCCTATGTGTTCTTCTAGAGGTGTTAACTTTTTTACTTATATTTAGGCCTGTCACCCATTTTGAGTTAACTTTTATGTATAGTATAGTGTAGTTCTTCTGATTAAATTTTTTTTCATATGGGTATTGAATTCTTCCAGCACCATTTGTTGAAACTATCCTTTCCCCATTGAATTACACACACACACACACACACACACACACACACCCCACCCCCCACCCCCAGACAGAGATTGATTGATCTTGATTGAGACTGAGTGTGCAAGTGTGTGTTTGTATGTCTGTTTCTGGACTCCGAGCTCCTAGTATACACTTAGAGGCATTTTTGAGTTGTAAATAATTAGTAACCCATCTTCACCACAGTGCTTACTCTGTTCTTTGTGCTAAGTCTGTATGTCAGCTACTTCTGTCGTTGAAAATAACAAAGTATTGGGATTATTTGTTTACATAGCTGTGTTTCCTAGTGATCTACAAGCTTCCTAGGACAAGGGTTGTGTCTCTTCATTTATGTTCTCGTGTTAACCTAGGCATATAAAAAGCGTCCAATATATATCTGTTGAATTCAAATAAGCAGAATATGGAAATCAGGTTAAATGTCAAGTATTTCACCTCTGTGATTATAATTGGTGTTATTTTAAGCAAAATTTATCGCTCCGTTCCCTAATATTGCTACACAGCACCAATGTCAGCTTTTCCCCTGACATCAGGTTCAGTTTGATTTTGACTAGTTGGTTAGATTTTCTTCTGAGAATCTGCACTTTGATCTATCTGGTAATAAAAACAAGTCTTAACTAGTAGAGTATGCCAGTCACTGTATAAAATACTAACATATGTGATGTCACTTAATTTTGATACTAGCCCTATGCAGCAGTTACTATCATTGTTCTTATTTCACATCTGAGGGAATACAACTTGCAGAAGTAATTTGCTCACAATCACACAGATGATCAACAGTGAAGAGAATACAGGTGGCCCTTAATTTAGACAGTACAGTGTGATCATTGTTCACCTTCATCCAGGAAGGTTAAGTCGTACATTAACTTTCATGTGAAGTAAGTGTTGTCAGTCCTTAGGATTTGAAATATGGCACATATTCTTGATAAAAAAGTGAGATGTTGAATTTATTGTCATTAAGTATATATGCAGTTATCTTCTCAGGCAAAGTCAATTGTTTCATATTTCTCCATAATAATACCAAATGCCTTTTATGTCTTGCTCAAGAGACTACAGAGAGTGCGATGATGTGATATTTAGTATGACATTTCCCCTTTCAAAAGACATTCCTTTGGGCATAAAAGCTATTTGTCCTGTGGCCGTGTTTGAAATACAAATACCACAGGGCCAAACCCTTCCTTGTCAGCTAACACCTCATTTATTTATATACACTAGTCATTATTATCAGGAACTGGAGGCAGAATATGCATATTTGGGTAGAGAGTGCAGCATTTTGGGAAGAATGGGTTTTCTTTTTTTTTCTTTTTTTTCTTTTTATTATTATTTTTTTTTAGATTTTTAATTATTTATACAAGCACTGGATACAGTCAGAAGCGCGGGAGGGTGAGAGAATTCACCAGAGCTAGAGCAGGGAACAGATCAGGCAGACTGACGAAATACACTGCTGAGGGGAGCAGCGGGCGCAGCAGGAGAGGTCTGCGCGCCATGTGGGACCCTCACCGGTGGCCGGGGATCGAACCAGCACTGCAGAGGCTGCAGGCAGCTTCGCAGCCCAGAGCTCAACCTCTGTGCCACCATGGGAGGCCCAAGAATGGGTTTTCTAAGCAAAGAAGGACCAAAAGAATCTCTGTGTAGCAGCTCCAATTTTCCTGATTCCAATGCAGGTCCAAATCTTACCCTTCTGAGAGGTGTGGATTTTAACCAGTGTACTCTAACCAGAAAATGGTGTTTTGATCCTGTCCCAAGACTGAAGACTTATTGTGTACAATGTTCCCTCTCAATACACCATCCTCCACCTTTGAGTATTTCTTGGCACCTTCCTTCTGGACCTCAGCATCCTCTGAAATCTGCCTTTGTGTTGGTGCCTCCACGCTGATAATGATGACAGTAATAAGAGGACTATCAAAGCCAATTCTAAATTGCTTTCCCTTCTGATGTTCGCCTCATCATGTTTTGATCTTCTGTAGTCCTCACAACTCACGAAGCAACTTCTCTTATCACCCCCATTTTTATACATGAGAAATCTGAGGCTTAAATGGCTAAGTTCCTTGCCAGACGTCATGTGGCCCAGAAGTGATAGAGACAGCATACACCCAGTTTCCTTGAAGGAGGAATGTGTATTCTTTGTTAAAAAAAATTGGAATGACATCTAGTTTGCAATGTGTATAGGTTTCAGGTGTACTGCTTCTCATCTCAGTGATTGTGTGTATCACCCCACACACACCACCAAGTGACCACTCACCATCCACCACCAACCAGTCACCCCCTCTACCTGTTCCACACGTACCTTCCCCTCTGGTGACCATCATTCTGTTGTCAGAGTCTCGTGTTGATTTTATTTTTCATTTGTTTATTTGCTTTGTTTCTTTATAGTCCACAAATAAGGGAAATCATATTCACTTAGTATAATCCTCTTAAGTTCCATCCATGTTGTTGCAAGTGGTAGGATTTCATCTCTATTTTTGATAGCTGAGTAGTATTCCATTGTGTGTGTGTATATAACTACGTTTTCTTTATCTAATTATCTGTTGTTGAACACATGGGTTGTTTTCATATTTTGGCCATTATGAATAGTGCTGCAGTGAACATAGGGGTTTATATAACCTTTCAAATTAGTGTTTTCATATTCTTAGGGGAAACACTCAAAGAGTGGGATTTCTGGATCATGTGGGAGTTCAATTTTTAGTTTTTTGAGAAGCCTCCATAATGTTTTCCATAGTGACTACAACAATTTACAAATGAATAATTACTGTTATTCATAATATATTGCCTTACAGAAATCCCAAAATGCCTCAGAAATGCATTTGGGATCAGAAAATATTGTAATAGTCATAACTTTTATATTATGCATTATTATATATAAAGCCCTCATATCAGTTATCTGGATATGATTTATTTGCTGCTTTTTTTCTGTGAAATTACATTTGCAGTTGGTAGTAATGTTAGGATGTTAAGAGGATATGAGGAATTTAGGTGGGGTGTGTGTGTGTGTATAACCACATTCCTATTCCTACAGGAATAGGAAGAAGAATCTGATAAGATGTCATTGTGTTGAGTGACAAGATCTATTTGTTTGTAATGACTTTAATGGGTTATATTCAATGGGTTATATCCCTACATCGCTTTGAAACAAATACACTCAACTTCTTGGCCAAATGAAGGAGAGGGAACTTTAGAGGGTATAATTTAATTAAATTGATGTCTAATCTTTCAGATTTTAGAGTGAGTCAGTTCACTTTAAAGTTTTGTCTAGGACACATTCTCAAATGCCCTGAATACTTCTATGGTGCCATGTGAAGGTCAAGGGATGAAGTAAGTGGTCTCCGATGGGCCTTTCGATGCCATACATAGAAGCATGCCATACACCCTTGCCTGGCAGGAAGCTCCCATGATCACAAAGCTGGGTTTCCCATGGTGAGGCTTATCCATAGCACTCTGGATGTGCTCACCACTGCAACTTCCCCGGATGTGGGAGAATCATGTAAAATTTGTGGTAGTGGGGCACTGTGTTCACACTCTCCCCTGGGGGGAAAAAAAAAACAACAAAAAGCATACCATACATAGAACAGTCACTCTCAAAACTTGGGTCTTGGACTTTTAAAGAATCATTGAGGTGGTGGGCCTCCCTGGTGGGGCAGGGATTAAAGTCTCAGTGCTGTCAATCTATCACCAGCCACTGGCCCACAGGGCACAGCAGACCTCTCCTGTTTTTCCCGCTGCTCCCCTCAGCAGTGTATTTCAGTAGAACCACCTGTTCCACTCCCCACTCTGTCTCTGGTGAATCCTCTCAACCCCGCCCCCCACTCCAGCACCTCTGGCCTGCACCCCAGTTCTTATATGCGTAAATAAATAAAAAATAAATCTTTAAAAAAGTTAAAAAAAATCATTGAGGGCCCTAAACGTTTTTATGTGGATTCTAGTCAGCAATAATTACCATCTTAGAATTTAAAACTCAGAAATTTTTTAAAACTTGACAATACATTATTGGTGCTTTGATGGTGGGTGTGGTGTGGTAACATACGATTGAAACCAATAAATCATATACAGTGTTGTAAACCAACCTCAATATTGCCATACAAAAATTAATTAAATACAAATGCCATGTTTCATTAGCTGTTGGAGTGATGGTACCATCACAGGTCATATAGTCTCTGGAATGTTCTGCTGAACAGTCATGCAAAAATGAGAGTTTAAAAAAGGCAAAAAAATTCTCCATATAATTATGAAACTGATTTTGACCTCATGGACTCAAAGTATCCTGGAGATCCCTAGGGGTTCTTGGACCACATTTTGAGAACTGTTGCCATAGATTTTTTTTAAAGATTTATATTTTATTTATACAATAGCTGGGGTAAAGGCCAGAGGCGTGGGAGGGTGATAGGATTCACCAGAGACAGAGTGGGGAACAGAACAGGCAGACAGACCGAAAGCACTGCTGTGGGGAGCAGAGGGCACAACAGGAGAGGTCTGCCACACCATGAGGGAATCTCGCTGGCCGGCCGGGAATCGCACCCGCGCTGCAGAGGCTGCGGACAGCTTCACAGCGCTGCGCTCAACCCACTGCACCACCGGGGAGGCCCTAGATATTTAATTTCTTTATATGAAAGCAGATCAACATCTAGATAGTCTAGTTCATCATTATCTGCCCCACATCTATATGTAATTCCTTCCTCAATTATGGGTTGATGTATTAGGAGGACTGGCCTTGTTCGAGAATTATTTTATATTTTTTCTTTTATAATTTAAATAGTTTTCTTTTTAATTATTCACTTATTCTACATATAAGTGAAACAGTCTGGCTTTTTTTTTCTTTATTGATGTATCATTGGTTTATAACTCTGTACATGATTTAGGGAAATAGGTTCACACCTCCCCAGATGTATGTCACCAAGCCACCCCCACCATCAAAATACCCATAGTCCTTTAGCTTAGCCCAGTGGGCCCCTCCCCCCTTTGTTTCCACCCCCACCTTCCTCAAGTCTTTAGGAGCCTCGAGTCTACAGTCTTATTTCTAGGGTTTGTTGTGGTTTAGTCTTGTCAGTTCCTTTGTTTTTTCTCCCTTTGTATCCTTACATAAGTGAAATCATCCACTATTTGTCTTTCTCCTGATTTATTTTGCTTAGCATAATCCCCTCTAGTTCCATCCATACTGTCACAAGTGACAGAGTTCATTTTTTAAAATAGCTGGTTAACATTTCATTGTGTACATATACCACATTTCTTAATCCACTCCTCTGCCCTTGGGCACTTAGGTTGTTTCCATGGGTTAGCTATTTTAATAGAGCTGCAATGAACATAGGAGTGTATATATTCCTTTGAATTAGTGTTTTTGCATCCTTCAGGTAGAATCCTTGGAGTGGAATTGCTGGGTTAGCTGGTCAGACAAGAGCTATTTTATGAGGTGCTGTTCCTCTGCTCTCTTCCTCTGGACCCCAGGATCCAGAACCATTTGCTGTTTAGATTCAGGTGATTGAGATAACCTTTTATTAACATACAAAGGAGGTCCCTTGAGACTTTAAATGATAACTGAAGGATTAATTAGAAAAAGATGAATATACATCATGAGCTAAACAAAATAGTATGTGCTAATAATTGGAGAAAAATGTAATTACAACAAAGTAAGAATAATATAGAGTCTAGTTCTGGTATTAACTTCTAATCATATTGTAATAAAAATGGGTTAAACCAACAAAATGTTAAAGAAATGCCTCTGATTCATCTTAGGATTTTTTTCTCTTTTAATTATCTGGGTGCTAAATTCTCCATTGTTCCTCTGCTGTGAACCCCCAATCCTACCCCTACTGGACTGTTCATACAGATAAAGGATTTCTATCCATTTTAGATAATTGTTATTCTCACTAATTGTAATTGTTTATAGTTCAAACTTGAACTCCAGCGGTCTTTCTAATTATAACTGCATTGTTCCAGTTACATTGTTCTTAATAAATTATTATAAAAATTTGTTAATATTAAAATTTAATGAACCTCATTGCCCTTCAAAATAACCTTCAGTGGTTTACTGGAAGATCACCTCAGTCTGTCTAGTTGGTATAGAGAGTTATGATGGTACAGCTTGGGGCTTTTATTAGAAAAGGAAACTTGTGCTTGAATATCCGTTTTAAAAAGTTTCCTCATGTTGAATCAGTGATCTCACTTTCTTTGTCATACTTTTAGACCTCCTTAGTAGGTATTGTTGATATTTCACCCATAATACTTCAGTGCTTACAATTCCTCTGTAGCCCAAAAGTTTCTTATTGTACGTATGTGTAACTCTATCTGGGAACTTTTCCTGACCATCGATGTTTACTTTGGTGTATAGGGGTAGGCACACAAGATGTTCTAGGTACATAAAGTCTGCAGAAGCAGCTTAAACAGTGGTAGCTAGGAGCCTGTGAATAAATACTTAAAATCCTTCACTTTCATTTGAGAGAAATCTGAGACATGTTCCACACAGACCATTACATAGCTCCAGTGGAATTAAGCCCCTGTTGCCCAGAGCAGAAGTCAACTCATTTATGAACTTGCCCTGGTTTGCTTTCTTTATGTGACACACTATAGGTATTCTCTGCGGCCACCTCCCATTTGGTCTCAAATCATTATCTTAAGGTCTGCTGTGAGGGAGTCCTGAACTAAGATGTGCCACCCAAAGCCCGTTCTGCCCACAGCAATATTTGTTGCTATAAACAGTACTAGTGTTAATTTTTTCATTGAGGATGGGACATCTGGAGCTCACAGTCAGTGGTGTCCTGGTAAATGTTTAATAGCCAATACTCCTCCCACCCCACCCCTCACCCCCTGCAAATAAACCCGCGTTTATAGCCTTTGTTGATTATTGTGGTATACGTGCTCTCGCCATGGCTGATTTCAGGCTACCGATATGATGCCCCCGAATGCAAGGCTGAGAGGAGGTGTGTACAGCTGACTTTGGCTCGCCACTGCTCACTGGGGTAAAGAGTCACAGAATGGGGTGCTGCAGAGATGAGCATTTGACAGAGTTTTTGAATGATGGAGCATACATGCCATCTAATCATATATGTTTATGTTGTTTAATGAGGACCCTGTAGTCCAGAGGGAGGAAGGGCTCTTTCCATTAACTAACACAGATACTTAGGAAGAGCCAAAAATCAGACCTTCCTGGTTTTGGTTCATAGGTGAGAAGAACAAAGAGCCAATTTGGATCATAAGGGGCAGCAAAAAGCTGGTTTTTCAAGTGCAGTGGTAATAGTGAAATGTGTGCTGAAGGTGTAGATCAACTGGCAGATGGGGTTAGGTGGGAGAAGTGCAGCTAGTGCCTTACTAGGGTGTTTTCCCTTCTGCCTTCCAGCCTTCAGCAAATATTGATTGATTGCTTCTGATATGTCTGGAACGGTGTTAGGTAGGGACTCCATGATGAACAAAACAACAGTTCCTTTCTTGTGCTCATCAGTTTTTATACTAGGGAGAAAAAAGACACTAAAAATTAACTGCAAATAGAATAATATTAAGAGAAGTACTCGGTCTTTGTATTAACAGAGACCTGAACTGTTCTGTAAGTCAGGGAAGGAAAAGTCTAGAGGGAGCAAGACCTGGGACTTGGAAAGACTGATTTGCCGGCTAGATTAAGAGCCACAAAACAGTGCTAGAAATGGAGCAAATTAGAGAAAATTAAAAGAACTCTCAGAGAGAAAGAGATGACTATATATGATTGTAAGGAATATTTAATTTGCTCTTTACTGCGAAGTTGGGGGTCACTGGTTAAATTTCACCAGGGAAATAGCATGTTTTAGCTTATGTCTTTAAAAAGATCACCAGTATGTTTATGGAGTAGAGAAGAGCCTGAAGCTGAGCTGAAGCAGGAGAGCTAACACTAATATCCTTAGTCCCCATAAATATCTGCCAGGGGGATGACTCCAGTAATTCCATACCTCTCCAGTGGTTTAGCCTAGCAATCTGATAGGTAGATATAATATAAATACTATCTGGGTTTTTAAGTTTACCTCTACTTGCTAATCTAATGTCTAGTCTTTGTGTTACCCTAGTAGGTATCTACCATAGGACCTGCACCTTAAAACATAATAATAATAATAAAAATGTCCGACACTTATAAGTACTTTGCAATATTAACTCAGTTAGTATGTACTACAGCCCTATGACAGAAAGCCCATACTTTTCCTTCTTTTAATCAACTGAAACACAGAGTAGTTTGTGTTATTACACAGCAAGTGTTAGAGCTAGGATTCAAGCGTAAGCCAGAGTCTTGAGTAGCCACACTCACTTTTCTAGCTTATTACCTATGTAGGTAATTGATTGCAACAAGCACAGCATTTGTATTTCCTTGTTGATATAAATTCTCTCCAGCTATGTGATTGGCTAATTTGACTCTTGTTTTATGACTTTTGTCACTTTGGTTGGGATAATTGGACTTCTTATTTATAAAAGTTACAGGATTTTTTTCACTTATTTACTTCACAAACACGTCTATTATGTAGCAGGCACCATTGGAAATGCATCACAGAAGTGAACTATTACAAATCAAAGAGGCATGT